GAGAGGGATGTCTGATTGCCGGTGTAGGCCTGATGGAGCGGGCCTAAACTGGCAGTCAGACATCCCCCGAGGGGTCTCGGATTTGAAAGGGTGCAGGCCGGGCTGAGGGACACCCCCCTGCACAAATTTCGTGCACCGGGCCTCTAGTACATAGATATAGATATAGATATAGATATAGATATAGATATAGATATAGATATAGATATAGATATATATAATTTTCTTCTGATCATCAACAAAATGCAAATACAAAATATAAAAACTCCTAATCTCCTAAGAAGACATTTGAGACATTTGAGGCACGCTTCCCCATATCCCTTTTTGTTGAGTTTAGGACTCCAGTGGAGAAATAGTAGTGTGACTAACTTGAAGGGGATATTTACAAAGAGCTACAAATATACCAATAAGCATAGTGATGCTTTAGTACAGTAACTCATTATGTATATTGACTCACTGCACACTGAGCCTATAATGTTGATTTGTAAGCTCTAATTTGCTGATGAAGAAACTGAAGCAAAGGGAGATTAGGTAATGTTACCAAGATCACACAGCCAGTAAGTGATGGAGTTTCAACGTAAAATACAAATTTGTCTTATTTCTCATTCTTCTTGAATATTTCCAACAACCTCTCACAGTAAATGCAACTCTGTATCCAAGTGAAAAATTTTCTCTGTTAACTAAAGAAAGTTTTATTTTGATCCTTGAAAGAAATAAAGAGCAAGGGAGATCTATCCCACTGGTGTAAGGCTTTTATGAACTTGGAGGAAGTAAACCTAGATACCCTAATTTAGCTTTTCTTCATATGACCCATTTTCTGTTTTTGAATCACCTTTTTTGTTCCTTTAAAATTTCTTTTCATTTATCCTCCCCAATTCTACATTCTTCTTCCCTTACAAGTTATTTAAAATATGATGAATAAGTAGATGTGTAAAATATATAATATAATAAAATAGCTTCAGTATCATACTCCTCTTAAATACATACCCCAGATTTCTTGTTTTAAAAACTTTCAGCTTTTTTACATTAATGTCAGGTAGTCACATTTCATCAATTAACTTAATATTTGAAAAACAAAATTTTCATTGTCTAATCCTACCATGTGAAAAAACAATTCAATTGGCCATTCACCTATTTTTTGGCACAAAAGATTACTTAATTTTAATTTTATTAGACAACAGTGAGCATTTTTGTATAGAAACTTTGTGCTCCTATTTGATAGTTACTTAAATTAGAGTCCTGGAATTAAAAATTCCTGGATTAAGGCATAAAAATATTAAAAGCTCTTAATACATATTATTAAATTGCTCTCTAGAAATACATGTTCTCCTGAGTATATAACCAGCAACATACATTTGCCAAAATTATCTCTTTGGTAATTAGATACAGAAAACACTTCATATTAATTTTTTCATTTTGACTGTTAAAAACTGATTTTTTAAAAAATTAGCTATTTGAAGTCATTCAGAGTTTTTTCCTAACCTTTGTGTGCTTAGACACGCCTTAAAAATTGGGGTTATTTATACCATAATCTGCTTTCAGTTAAAAAAAAAAAGCAAATCTATGTGTTTAACATTATTTGCATACAGCTACAGCTTTTAAAAAATATGTATTTTATTGACTTCTTTACAGAGAGGAAGGGAGATGGACAGAGAGTTAGAAACATCGATGAGAGAGAAACATCGATCAGTTGCCTCCTGCACACTCTTCACTGGGGATGTGCCTGCAACCAAGGTACATGCCCTTGACAGGAATCGAACCCGGGACCCTTGAGTCTGCAGGCTGATGCTCTATCCACTGCGCCAAACCGATTAGGGCCAGCTACAGCTTTTGTTGATTGTTAACATAGTTTGTTTTGTTTTTCAGGTACACACTGCATAAAATAAAGTGGAAAAAAATTTATGATCTTTTGGTAACTTTAAACTTTTTAACCCTTCATAGCTTATTCCCCCAATTCCATTAGGAATTAAAATTTTTATTATTAAAGTACTTTTTGAAAAATTAGATTTTTAAGGGTAAAGTTATCAATCAGGTAATCACAAACCATTTGAATAGTCTGCTGTTAGATTATAAAATAACAGGTACAAAGGATTCGTAGAGTTTTTATTTTATTTTATTGGTATATTTTTCTTCCTTTATAAGTCTGTTTGCTGGTTATAATTACTCAATGTCAAGATGTTTTCTCTAGGTAAGACTCCTATGAAAAAAATTATTTATTGACAGTGGCAAACTGTCCCTCATGGGAAAATCTGTAATTGTTGTTTAACTTAGGGGTATTGATCTTTACTTTTACAAGAAAAGAAACTATTTTCAATCCACTTGCCATGCTGCTAAGTCTTATTTAGATGACAAAAGTAATAATATAACTTGACTCAAATCCTAGGTGGATTAAATAATAAAAAAATATATAAGAAGAAAATAAAATATAGACATTTATTTGAGTTCAATCTTGAACTCAAATGTCAATCTTGCAAAAAAAAAAAAGTCACCAGAAACAAAATTACTACTAAAAGAAAGACTACAAACTAAGAAAAGTATTTGTGACATAAATGATAAATGAAGTTGTAATACAAAAATTTTATAAAGATTGCTTACAAATCAATAAAAAAAGATGGAACTTCGATAGAAAAATGGCCAAAGAGTACCAGTGGAAAATTCACACACACTGACAAGAGATGGAAATATGTAGTCAATAAATACATACGAAAAACTATTCAATGTTACTAATATAAAAATAAATTTAAAAAATACTAATAAGATAACATTTTTTCTTCTTCCAAAATGGCAAATATTTGAAGTATAATAGTACCATAAACTATTGTTAATAACTGATACAAATTTTTTGGAGGAAATTTATGCAGTATTCCTCAAAAACTTTAAAAATACATATACCATGTGAATCAATGATTTTGATCCTAGAAAGACATCATAGAAAATTAAAAGAAGATGTGTGCACAGATTATATACTAAGGGCATTCATTCTAGCATTATTTATAACATTGAATACTTGAGAAACAATGCCTTATATCCAAACAAAATATACAATTGTTAAAGCTGTGTTGTCAGAGACTTTAATAAATTGAAAAAATATTCCTGTTGATAAAGAAAAAAATAAATGCGGGTTCTAAATTGTAATTCCAGCTCTGGCTGGTTTGGCTTACTGGATAGACCGTTGGCCTGGGGACTGAAGAGTCCTGGGTTCAATTCCGGTCAAGGGCAAGTACCTTGGTTGCAGGCACATCCCCAGTAGGGGGTGTGCAGGAGGCGGCTGATCGATACTTCTCTCTCATTGATGTTTCTAACTCTCTATCCCTCTCCCTTCCTCTCTGTAAAAAATCAATAAAATATATTTAAAAAAATAAATTGTAATTCCAGATTTTTAGTGCAAACACATTTCAAAGACCAGGTAGGAAATTCCTCAAGATGTTAATGCCATTAATAGTATCACCTCTGGGAGGTGGGATCAAAAATCTTTTTTATTTTATTATTTTTTAAAATATATTTTATTGATTTTTTACAGAGAGGAGGGGAGAGAGATAGAGAGTTAGAAACATCGATGAGAGAGAAACATCGATCAGCTGCCTCCTGCACATCTCCCACTGGGGATATGCCCGCAACCCAGGTACATGCCCTTGACCAGAATCGAACCTGGGACCTTTCAGTCCGCAGGCCGACGCTCTATCCACTGAGCCAAACCGGTTTCGGCATAAAATTTTTATATGCTTCCTGATAGTCTTAAATATTTTCCAAAATACTTACAATAACAGCGTATTGATGTTATAATCAGAACACACACAAGAGAGAAAGTGAAACTCATGTTTCATGCGGAAATGCTTATTAAAAGGACATAGAAACAGTGCCACAGACAAATTCAGGTCAACTTATTATTTTTTAAAATATTCTTATTGCTTTGAGAGAGAGAAAGGGAGAGAGAGAGAAAGATAGAAACATGAGCGATGAGAGAGAATCATTGATGGGTTAAGGATCCAACGGTGACCTCCTGGTTCATAGGTCCACGCTCAACCTCTGAGCCGCCCCGGAGGAGCCCGAGCCAAGGCGGTTATACTGAGCCTGTCAGGTAGATTTCTCCAGAGACTTAATTATCATACATTTGAGTGCTCTTTTTGAACAACAGGATAACTCAGCCATTCGCTGAATTTTAGACTAAGAAGGGACCCTTGCGATCCACAGCACTGACAAGGCATCCTGTTCATTTGGTTTACGACTTGGTGCCCACCACCCAGCTCAGTACATTTTTGAATGAAAGACAAACAACAACAAAAACAATGAAGGCCACCACAGTCATTGTGCAGATGCTGAAACTGCTTCCTCCAGAAACAAAAGGGCTCACTTGCCTACGGTTATACTTGTCATCCCCATCCAGTAACTACTACCACCGACACACACTGCATCTCCTGCTCGCCGGCCAGGCAGCCTGCGAGGACTGTATGCACATCAGCGCACTGAATCCTCCGACAGCGCGACGGGGGAGGCATTGTGAGGATTGTCGCCAAGCAGGTGAGGAAACTGAGCCACGAACTGCATCCGTGTTTCATCCCCCTTTCCTCCTCGCCATTGCACACGAACCCTCATTCGATCTGACGCCAGCTCGTTTGGATTTTACGGAGGGATGCTTCTAGGGTGCATCTGTGTATGTCTGTGTGTGTGAGATGCGGGAAGTGGAGATTTTAAAGACCCGCCGCGGGAAAACAATGTCTTGATGTCCTGTGTTTTACTCGGGCTCATCCCTGGAGCGCCCCTCCTGGTGGGCCTCGGGGACTGGGGACCCGAGACCTGCCTGGGGACCCCGGCCGCTCTCGTAACGAGGCTCCCGTCTCCGGGGGCCGCGCAGCCCCGCAGCCCGGTAGGACCCGCTGGGCTGGGCCGCAGCCCCCGCCCGCGCCACCTGCTCCCCGGATCCCGCGTCCCCGCCCCGCGTCCCGCCCCCGCGCCGCGCCCACGGTCCCTCCCTCCGGCGTGACGGGAGCACGGGCGCCTGCTGCCCGGACCGCGAGCGCAGCCGAGCTGTCAGCGGGCGGACGGACCGGGAGCGAGCGAGTGGCGAGCGGAGCGCGCAGCACAGGAGCCCGGGAGCCGGAGCGCGCCCCGCCCGCCGGGGAAGCCGCCTCTCACCGGCCGGCCGACCTCCGCGGACCGAGATGCCGCTCCGCAGCCCGGGGCCGGCGCGCGGGAGGGGCCGGGGGCGGCCGCCGGGGGCTCCTCGCGGCAGGTTCTCGCCGCCCTGGAGCCCCGCCTGGCTCTGCTGCTGGGTGCTCGCCGGCTGCCAGGCGGCCTGGGCGAGGGACCTGCCCTCCTCCAGCCGCCCGCTGCCTCCTTGCCAGGAGGTGAGCCGCACCTGGTCCTTTACCTGGCGTTGGCGGGGGCGTGGGTGGAGGGAGCGGGAGGCAGGGGCGCGGGGGGTGCCTGTTTATGGCGCTCTGTCCCGGCCTCTCTCCTTCCCGGGAGGAAGTTGCCCGCCCCGGGAAGCTGGCCGCGTGCGGGTGTGTGGCTCCGCTGTCTTTCGGGGGATGCTTTTCTGTCCGCGCCCCTGTGTTTGGAGGGCTCTGAAGGACTTTGCGGCGCCCTCTTTGGAGTGTCAGGCTTGAGGACCTGGGGCCGAGGGAGATGTCAGCCAGGAGAGGAGACTGGGCAGCGCCGCCTGTGGGATCTGGAGACCCGTCTCTTCACAGCTTTTCCAGGGGGCCTGATACCGCCAACGGAGGGAGGGTTTTCCGCGCCTCCCCTGCTCCTCTCCTCTCCTCTCCCCTCCGCTCCCCTCCGCTCCCCTCCGCTCCTCTCCGCTCCTTTCCCCTCCCTGGTCTCTACAAGCTCTGTCTTCCGACTCCCCTGCGCTCAGCTTCCCGATAAGGCCCTGGGATTTGCTAAGCCAGTGTGTGGTATCACTTGGCATCCTCCTGGCAAAAATATGGATATGAATTAGGAAGAAAAAAGGAGTGTGTACTTAGGGGAGAGGCGGGTTGGTGATCTAGAAAATTAGGACAGACAGAAAGCATATGCCCCTTTGGGGAGGTGTTCATCCCCTGGCTGCATCATGGCCACAGTGTATTTTATTGCTTGAGATTATTGCCGCTATACAGCCAAGGAGAATGAATTCTGGGTGATGAGGAAACCCCTTGCTTTTAGGGTAACTGGACTTGGTGTGCCCCAAATTTACAGGGGTGTCATTGGTACTTTATTGGGTGTTTATCTTTCGCTTTAGTGTTGCAGAAAGTGCACCCTCTTAATGAAAATCAATAAGGGGAAGGAAGCAACATTTCTGACCTACTTTGAGTGATTATGTTGGGCAGGATAGGAGGAGTGGATACTGTTTTTAGAAAGATTGCTAGGAATCGGGTGATGGGGTCATCTTCATTTATGTAGCAAAAATAGCTTAGCTAATAGTACCCCTGGGAAGAGAGGCCAGACCCTTTGCTTTGTGTATGATGCTGCCACTTTTGAGTTTTACCCAGGCCTGAATTATAGAATATCTGCATGCTAGACATCATCCATCAGCCATAGATTTCATCTTCTTCTCTCGTAGAACAAGTCCCAGGACAGACTGAAATGAAGGAGAAGAGATCAAAAGCACGTGTCCAGGCACACAGCAGTCTTGAAATTGGGGCAATCTGGGCAAAATCTCAACAAACAGCTGTGTTTAATTTCTGAGTTTATTAGTATAACTGGTTGTCTAATCTGTATTTTTCAAATTTACCTATTACCTGGGAATAATCCATTCTTCCAGGTTTCTATAGAAGGCTGCTGCCTAACAGTCTCAGATGGAACAGTTGCACTAGGACAGAGATGAAACCCTGCCTTCAGCCCTCAGCCCCAACATGCAGAATGTATTTCTTTTCTGAAGTGAAAAGACATAAGCTTCTTGTAACATTAATTCTTAATTACTTGAAATAGGTGAACGTCAGCCATTGGGGTGATGCATTTGGTCACCACAACTAGGCTGATCCTGTCGCTAAGCACGTTTTACACATGCACACCTAGAAAAAATGGGGTAAGACTCTGCAGTCTAAGACAGAAATATTGTAGTGAGAGTCAGGGCGATGACAAAAGTTCAGGAAGGTTGTGTCCAGTTAGAAATTGCATGTGACTTAATGCCTTGGGGTCTCAAGTTTGAAGTTCCCTCTGAAAATGGGAATAAAAGAAATAAGATTCCACTGAGCCTGCTGGTGCTGGTTGCGTTTTTAGAAATGGTGCTGCACAGACCCATTTATATTCTTCCCGATGACTGACAAACAGCTGTGAGAAGATTGGGTGTTAGAGGTTCCTTTGGAAATAGGAGAGGCTGAATTTTCTTCTTGGCATTTAGTCTAACCAGCTGAACTAACTTGTAGAATTGATCATTGTTTTTCTGACATTTTTTTAAAAGAGGGAAGTGGGAAGGGCAGGTGCTTTTCACACTTTGAGCTTGTGCTTATGGGTATGGAAATATGGGCCAAACTCCTGTGAACAGAGACAGTCAAAGTAACTATTTTGTGTCCACTCCTGCTTGTTTATCTCTTTCCACTCTTTAGTAACAGAAAAGGAGGTGAGTGCCATGTGTAAGGGACAACACCATGTATGTGGTGGTGGTGGTGGTGGTGGTGGGGTTAGTGAGAGCAATTAAAGGGAGGGGGTTTGAGGCTGGGAACTAAAGCCAACTGAGCAATATGAGAGAATATTGAAGTAGAATATGGAAAAATCTGCAGCGAATTCTAAACCTCATTTTCTCCCAGTAGTTTGAGTCTCCTTTCACTTATCAGTGTTTTTAGAAAAGTAGTCATGGTTAACTAAGTTATGTAGACTCTCGTTTCACTTGCCTGATTTTAGAGGAAAGCAATGAAAGGAAAAGGATGAGAAGCACAGAAAACTGGCCTGGGAGTAATCTAGTTATGATTGCCCGAGTTCAGGAAAAATGCTTTTCAAAAAGATAACTGGTTTATGGGTAGAATTTCACTTTGATTTTAGTAGAGGATTGGACTCTGGGGTAAAACTCATAAAATACAGCGTCCTTTGTTAAAGTCATTGGATTATGGAGTTGAAAAGGGGAGGAAAATGATGACCTTGGAAAGCTCAGTTGGATCAAATCAGCAGGGTGGAAGCACCAGCTCACACAGGAAGGCTATCGTCTGGGAGAGAAATTAAAGTCAAGTCAGTGCCAGCAGTGGGAGGACAGTAATAGGATGTGACTTTGGTAGATCATGTTTAAAGCAAACAATAATATGTGGGCTGTACATCAGGAAGTACAGGATTAATATTTGCAGGCTTTTTTCTTCTTTTTTAAATGGGAGAACTTAGAAAGGATGGTTATCATCATCAGGGTTTCTTATTATCTGTTTTTCACTTGTAAAATGATCGTAATAAAGACTGACCTGCTTATCTTCATTGTGAGGATGGGATAAGATTAATATAAGTTAAAGGAAAAATCTATATAAATTCAATAGTAGATTATTGCTGGATGAGTAGACCTAGATCCCGACTGATATTTCAGGAAGGCTCCAATGAGACTTCAGAGGGTCAGAGGACAGGCTGGTCCAAGAACGGAATAGAAAGGAATTTTTGACTCTGAGTAATAGGACTTAATGGGGCTGCCTGAGAAACAAAAGATAAAGGCCAGCAGATGATTCAGAGTTGGAGTAAGGTGTTAGAAGATAGAGTGCTTGAGAGTAGAAAGAACAGAACTAAGTGGACTATGTGTGCATCATTTAAATTTGGAAAATGAAATCACAAAATAGCTTGACTCTTAGTTCATTGCTGTAAAATACTATATAATGTGATTCTATTGTTCTCTCTGAATCATGAGTGAATGATGAATTTTTGGCAACAATGTTTATTCCATAAACATTTATTGAGCTTATCCTATGTGCCAGGCAAAATGTCAGTTGGTATGAAATTACAAATTAAAAAAATAGAATTTAGTTGGGTAAGGAAGAGACAGATATGTAAACAAATAATTACAATGAAGTGATTTGATGTCATGAGAGAAGAAATGGGCAGTCAAATGTAGTGGGGAGGATCAGAAAAGACCCTATAGAGGAAGTGAGAGAGATTTGAAAGATGAGTAGGAATTTGCCAAGCAGGCAAGGGTCAGATATGAGTGTGGGCTAGTTGAGGTGGGAGGTTGGGGAGGGGCGGGGGAGAGGGAAGGCATTTCTGGTATAGAGCACATTGAAAAAGTGCAGAAACACAAAACCACATTGTTATAATTGGTTATAACTGGAGTATAATGTGCTGTGAGGAACTAATGAGAGATGAGTCTGAGAGGAAGTCAGAAGCCTGAATATAAGGGACTGTGTATTATTCTAAGAAACTGGTCTTCATTTGCTAGGTGATATGGAGCAAATGAAGGATTTAGAAGTCAGAAGTAATAAAATATGCTTTAGTTTGGCAACAATATGGAGGCCACAGTAGAGGTGTGGGAAATACAATTGTTAGGAGCAATTGCAGTAGGTCAGCTAACGGATGACAGATTCGCTTGAGGAATAGCAGTGAAGATGGAAAAGAGGGCAAGACGTTAGATAGAATTGACAGTTAGTGGATGTGGAGCATGAGAGGTTGAAAGGTTCCGGCTTGATAAGAGAGGATGGTGCCTCTAACCTCCTGAGGAGGAATGTGAGGAAGAGGGGATAAGGAGCTTGGTTCTGGAGAGGTTGACTTTTAGAGAGTTGTTCAGTAGGCAATTGGGTCTCCGGCCCTATTGCTCAGGGACATGGTCTGGGTTGGCATGGAGAATGGGAAGCACTTGAATGATAGGCAGGGTTGAAGCTGCTGGATTGGATGAGATCATTCAGGAAGTGAGAACAAAGAGGATGAAAGGTAGGACTTGGGTTTTACCAACATTACAGGGTTGGGGGAGCAGAAATGGAGGCATCCACAAAGACATGAAAGTAATGGCTAGAATAAGAGAAATGGGACAGTACAGAGTTATGAGGAAAGGGAGAAAAACCTTTGAAGAAGAAAGGGGTGGTTGTGGTTTCACTTGCTCAAAGAAATTCAAATAAGATGAATTGAATTTGATGGTTAGGTCCCTAGTGAGTGGTTCCTGTGAAGTGTTGGAGATGGGTGGAGTATTGACTAGGAGGTGAGGCAGTGGTGATAGAATAGAATTTCATTATGTGGCCTTCCTAGATTTGGTAAGAAATTGTGTCTTCCAAGTGCGCATAAATCAGAGAATAAATGGCCTTACTGTCTGTTTCAGACTTTGATAGGAACAGTTGAGAAATATCATTTCTGCAGGAAGTCTTTAAGGTCCTGGGCTGTGGGTGAGGGTGTCAGAGATTCTGAAGCCATACTGTTGCTGAATTAGGACTCCTCTGTTTTCAAGGAGTTAGCATAATTAATCTTGCTTGCTATG